AAAACTTTGGGGCTAGTTGTAATATACAAGAATTATAAACAGGTTCAAGACGTTTTTATAGTTTGTAAGATGTGGGCAAATGTAAATTGTATTAGAAGAGACATTTTTTATATATATTATGATAATAATTGTAGTTTACGTCGATTTATGATAAAAATTTATATCATAGGAGATATTTTATATTTTATCTATATTGAATATAGTTTGCGATGATTTATAAGAGGAAATATTGAGAAGCCAAACAATTTTTTTTCGTATTATTCGTTTTTTTGTCGTTACTACTTGCTTTGGTAGACGTTACCAAACAGGGGGTAAGTTGTAACACCGTACTTGTTCTAGAAAATGATTAATTGTGAAATATTGAACAACCGTTGTAAAATTATTTTTACTTGATTTGGTAGAGGAATAGTTACAGTAACTATTTATCTTTATTTAGTAAAAATATAATCAGTGAATTTCAAGATATATTATTTAAAAAATGAAATATGCCGCCCAGGGGCGTAAACATTATATGTGTGAGTTTATCTTGTAATTTTATTAAAATTGTAATTGACAGAAATTTTTAATTGCTCTCTATTTGCATTTATTGTTACACAGTCAATGTTTAAAAGCCATTAGAATAACTATATCCATTTGATAACTGTATTTGTGAATTTTTTTTGCCGAAATTTTTGGCATGTTTTTCAATTCAAAATAATTTTAATTAATAATATAATTTGAATTGTTAACTAGAAGGCGTCGTCCACATATAGAAAGCTCGAAACAAAGCATAGTGGAAGCTATATTTAAAATCGTTTAGGAACTAAATACATATTTGTGAATAAGATATGGACTTGTGAATAAGATATTTAAAACTCAATAGACTGGTTGATTCATGTTTCTAACCAGATAATTTATATTACCCTTGTATTTTCATATTTTGATTTGCAACTAGAATATTTAAAACATAAAAATTATACTAAGGTCTCGTGAACTAAACAACAGCGCTCACAACCAAAAAAAACTAAAAACGAAAAGGAAATCACTATAGTTATGGATTTTCAAATATTACCGTTTATTTCCCGATAGGAACGTCGTACGAATCAAAGTGATGGCTGGTTAAAAATATTTTTTCCTCTACTTTCATATTCTGGTGTTGAACAATTTTCAACTTTACTGGTTTCTGAGATATTGGAGGTGGACCTTTTTCCCCGCGGACCTTTAAGCCCCCTCTACCCTACATATCTCGACCTGAGTGAGAAATGATCTGCTACTATGTATATACAAAATTTATAGACAATAGCTCTATCCTTGTTTACACTGATTTCCCCTTGCAGCTTGATTAAACAGAAGAATCGGTGATTTTTATTCGGTGTTTGCTAACCGTTCCGAATGAACGCGGCTTGACCAATTCAATTACAATTTTCGTATCATGTTTATATTGAATTACCGATTCTGCTTTATTTTGATTTCTGGTATGAAAAAGGTTTGGGGTGTGTAATCAATAACATCTAAGATCTCGCGATAAAATAAAAATACAGTACAAGAAAAGATGTTTGTGTACTATACTCGGCATCAAGAAATGCAAGTTTTTAATTTAACTTCGTTTGTAAGTAGAAATAATAAACAAGCACCTTAAATTTTACTCATACCCATGGCCGGTCCTACCTTGAATGCGAAAAATGCGGACGCACGCCTTAGGGGGCGCCAACACGAGATTCGGATATAAAATTTATAATAAGTTTTTTCAATATCATTCAAAAAATATATAATTTCTTTGCATCTTTTACTAATCTTTGGACAATGCTTTTAAAATCCGTTGAAAATTTAATCTTAAAATAACAATCTGACAAACGATGTAAAAATAAAGATGAATACATATAAAATTCGGTCCTTACGGTATCAATTAGAAGTTTACAATCCATTTTTTGATATTTTAAATATTATAAAATTAAATTAAAATAATCCAACGTGAAGTACCAGTGTTATGTTTAATAATGAGGGACTAGATTTTTTTTTGCTCTCTATGATTTGCTCAATGGAATAAATTGCATAGAATTTTCCAAATAAATAAGTAAAATATTTAAAACCCCAAATATTAATATTACACATGCATAAGCAATAATGAAAATACTAAAATTTAAAACGAATTACTAAAAAAATAAAACGAATTAAATAAAAGAGAATGTCTTTATTAGAATTGCATACGTTATGAGTCTTCGTTTGACCCATCTTTAGTGCTACATTAAAAAATTACAAAATAATAATTAATGACATATTTCTAATCGAGACTCGAAACGTATGCTATTCTAATAAAGACATAGTTTATTAAATTCGTTTTATTATTATTAGATATTAGATGGATGCTCAATAACATTTCATCGTATATGAGTTAAATTTTCCTAGAAGTTGCTACACCTATATTTATACAAAATTATAAACACTAAATTATAATTTTCTCATATTTGCAGCAAATAAATTTGAATAAAAATAGAATATTAAGTCTTATTTATTGGAAACAACTTAAATGAACACCTAATTTTAATTTTTATTATAAAAAATGCAATATTTAAAATACATTTTTTATATCTGTTTTACTATTGAAATAAATTATTATTTTTATAATTTATTAAATGTCTTTGATATTAAATTTAATAATATTTATTTTACGTTCAATGTGTTTGTTACTCATGATATTAAAAAAAACTGACAAAAAGGTGAAAGTTATTTATAGTGATTTGCGTTTAGCACGGTTTTTCCATATAAGAGTGAATTTTTCGAGTTACACGGTTTTTTATAGAACCGATCTTTCGTGTAAAGCGGGAGATAGGTGTATTTATTTTGAGAAATTTTTCACATATAAGTTTTAGGATAACATTAAATAATTAATAATAATAAATTTTCTTTATGTTTGAGACTTTTCACCAAACTATAAACTATAAATAAAAAAAATTGTTCAATATTGACTAAAAGCTCATTAATTTGTTTCTAAATACCTCTGAATTGCAGGTAAAAACCGTAACATGTGAACGCAACTAGAAATATCATATTTAACCACATTCACGGTATATAAACACATCACAAGGCTGTATATCACTAGATAAAATAAAAAAAATATTACTGCACTTTTTAAATTCGCGAATGAGCATCTGTCTAATCATTAAGATCTGCATGACATTCAAATGACAGCCATTGATAAACTACCGTCGTATTTCGTAGAACAATTTTTTCAAACATTATTCATAATCTGACATGTAATCATAAGATAAATAGCGCGCTAAATCAACGTGAAACAGATACTGGCTCGTCGAGTTGACACTGACGGCAAACGTAAAGTAACCCAATCCGACTGTAACAACACCATCGACATGCGGGGAGTATTCATGAGTTTGTATAAACATTTCGACGCGATTTTGCATCAGATTCAATAAAGATCCAATGACAAAATCAACAAGAGAATTCTATGATGCATTGGTAATACATGTTTTCTCCTATATCGCTTTACTATTTTCAACTGTCTTGAAATGTGGTCAGTGAAACATTCGGGAATCTTGACAAAATCGAACTAATGACAAACATTTCAGATACATAGATGATATAGGATGATACATTGCAGAAAAATGAGATGCTAATCAATGTTGCAAAATTTCGTTACGAATTAGAGTCATTTTTTGGATTGAATGAAACTGCAGTAATAATATTCGTTCTACTTTATCATCATTAAGTTTTATTTAATATCTTATCAAAAGCTCTGACAAAAAAAACTTACGCGTATACCAAAAATATATAGCCAATCAAAAAATTACGAAAAACACTTCATTCAATTTAAGTTTTCGTTCAATTTAAATATTATGCAGTAAGTAAAGATTTTGAGTGCCTTTTTTGAAAGCTTCTATTACTCGCAATTGGATCATTAAGTATTAGGGTGGAGCACGGCTTAAAGGTCCACAGGTAAAAGGTCCACCAACAATATCTCAAAAACGAGTAAATTTAAGGAAAAAAAATGTATAACCAGCCATCACCTTAATTTCTACGACTTTATTATCGAGAGAAAAACGACTATGTTTGAAAATTCATAACAGAAGTATGTTCACTGACCTTAATATAATTTTTAAGTATACTTTATTAAATTGTTTTATAAGGTCAGTGGCGTCGGAACCGTGTGGGCTTGAGCCACCTTGAGTCTTTAAAAAAAAAACAAGCACACAGGCTGTCTAACAAAAGAAAAAAAACGAGCCCACCCATCAAAAATTTGCTTCCGACGCCACTGTATAAGGTTTATTAATAATTTTTAGTTATATTCATCATTTTTTTCATATAACCTCAATTGAAGCTTACACCTGAGTAGGGCAGAAAAAAACAACTGAACCTTTACCCTGGGAAACGTGTAAAAAATAAAAAATAGTAAATAAAAAAAAAATAAGTTAAAAAAGCAATTTTACACTTGATAAATTAAATAAATAATTATTCCAACTCTGCTGATAAATATTTCTCATAAAATACTTGATAAAGGTTATTTACAGTATTGAAATTACACACTTGATATTTATATTTTGCATTGATTGAATAACTACAACAAATCTCTTGCCTAATGTAGCTATTATTTTGTAAAATCAAATACAATTTTTTCAAAAACAGCAGAAAAATATATTTCTACAATGATGAATTAGCTGGGATTTTTACTGAACATGGTCAGATAGTAGTTTGTTTGATATGTGCTATTTATCATGAGATAATTGGTTTAGCTTTCACAATATAATTGCTAAAAGTAAAATTGGATCTTCATGCCCCGCCTTATCCTAATGTGTTTGTCTTATGCATTTTTTTAGAAGCTGTTGATAAGTGAATATAGCATATAATATATACATGTATATTATAACGTACCTACTTGCATTTGAACTCCTGTACCAATCTGGACGATTTTCAATATATTAATCCATAAATTCAGTGATAGTGTTCAGAAACAAACATTATTGAAAGTTCATTTGCTCTTCTTCGAAATCACGACTATTAATTATTTTGTTGTGGTCTTGCCCAGTTTGCATCAGATCATCATTAGAATAACTAGTTACTGATTCTTGAATTATTTTTTTGCATTTATCTAATCTAAAACCTAAAATAAAAGAGCGCTAAACAAAACAGCTTTAAGCAGGGTATTATTGTATAGAAAAAATCAGTATTCAACTTTGGAAAAATTTCACCAAGCATTATCAACTTTCCTCATCTCAGTAAATAGAAACTATTTTAATCAACAACTACTAGAAGTGAACCGCCAGTTATCGAATTCGACTCACATGCTAACTTTATATAACTTTATATTTTAAGCTCACAACTTATACTTATGTAGAATGTTATTGCAATGCTTTTGCTTCCGAAATATATATGTCTAATCCGATTACTTTTTCTATCAAAGTATTTTATACGAAGTTGCACTATTTGCTAAAAGCAAGATATCAAATCGAGCAGACAAGAATCCGAGATATAGAATTGTAATATCATTAGAATCCTAGAGAGCGTTTGATGGAAAACACAAACATCATCTTAGTAGAGCGCAAAGTCCTGGGGCGATCCGTTGGGACTTTGCAGCGAACAACACCCAAGAATATCTCATTGCTCTGAAACTCGGTGCAGAACTATCTCTTGCCTGATTTTTTTTATTGATATAACAATACAAATAAACTAACAGCAAGTGTTCGTGACATGAATATTGGCAGCCTACCTAGGCATACAACTTCGTTATAAGATTCTCACATTCTTGGAAAATCGTTCGGATTTTTTAATAAAATTTTATAGTCACCGGTAAATAATATCCTACTATTAAACATTATCATACCTCAATCCTGTTTTTGTCTCGAAAAATTATTTATTTAATTTCTTATTTATAAATATTTTCCACATTCACCATTTTTTAATAATATTTTATGGTCACCGGTAAATAATATTTTACTATTAAAATGAAGCTATCAATATAAATTATAATACAAAAACTATTTAATTTTGATGACAGCATAAATACGTTAAACAAATGAGCCGTTTGTTTTGAAAGTGACATAAGTCCATTTATATTTAATTTGAATTACTCACGGTTTTGCATTTTTACAAAATTTCTTGAAATCATGTAATTTTTATAGTTTTATACTCAATATCAAGTTTACATGTCACTTAAATGACATATCATTCTTATTCGCATTTAATACATGTATTTTATTTATGTGTGGATATGAACGGTAATCAGCAGTTAATAGCGAAATAATTTATGCCATAGTCTTCAATTATCAGCATGTAATTATTACATGCATAGATAAAAGAAGAGTATGCTAGTTAAATTAGAAAAAAACGGCGCTGGCAACACCAATTTTATTCTGTGCTACGTGATTGTACTTTACTTTTGTTCTATGCTATCTTCTTGTTTGTTAACCCTGGCCGAGCATAAGAGAATCAAAAGGTATACAGTTTTCGCAAGAATAATTTTGGATATTGCCTTTGATAGCCATATATTTGGTGAGTCCTTTTTATGTATAAAACATTAAACATATATTATATTTTAGTTTTAACATTTTTATTAAACCTATGATACTGTTGTGTTCGATATAATATTGCAAATAGAAGCGCAATATCCTTGTACATTTTACACGCATATGCAAAAAAAATGTCAAGTTGTTCGATGTACGTAGATTAGTTTCGTATTGAAATATTTGATCATTTTAACGTTTAAGTAGTCTGTGCGTCCTTATAGTATAGAATATTTATTTCAAATTCATTAAAAATGTAGAGGGTTATAAAAGTGACGGCACTTTTTTGTTGCATATGATTATGATATTATGATTTGCATTAATTTGGGTCAAGATGATTTTTGTGTATTCTTTATTTAAGTAAAATTTTATTTTGTGTCAATAACGTGATAAATAGTACTATAGATATTTTTTTTATTTTACTATTTGTATGTAAATTATAGCGAAAGTTCGGTACGTCTATTAGAACTCATTCTGTAAGTCGGTGGTTTTCAACATTTAGTACCGTGCCCCCCTGTTCTTAAAAAAAATGTGCCTCTTTAATTTTTTTTATCATTCTAATTTCATAAATACTCAACTGATATTATAATTTAATTTGTAGATTACAAATTAATATGCAATATTATGTAAAAATATACATTAAAAATAATTATTTACTCGTTTATTTTTATATCGTGTCAAAATGTTTGGCTATTTTCGAAAGTAGTATTTTAGAAACCACGGCTGTGAAAGAACTTTTATTTGACATATCGAGAATTTGAGAATTGTTCTTTGTTAATTCAATATAAATTGACCCAAAAAATTAACACTAGTCAAATTAAAAAAAACTGCGTTGGCAACACCAATTTTATTCTGTGCTACGTGATTGTGCTTTACTTTTGTTTTCCGCTGTCTTCTTGTTTGTTAACCCTGGCCAAACATAAGAGATCAGAAGTGTTTTAATTTCTACCAGAAAAAAATTGGATAGTGCCTTTGATAGCCATTTAATTGGTGAGTTATTTTTATGCATAAAACATTAAACATATATTATACTTTAGTTTTAATCCCTACGATACTGTTTTTTCGATATACCATTGCAAATAAATGCGCAATATCCTTGTACATTTTACACGCATATGCAAAAAATGCCAAGATGTCCGATGTACGTAGATTATTTTCGTATTGAAATATTTGATAGTTTTATTGAAATCGTTTATGGTAGAAATCAAAAAGTATGAACGTTCAAGTAGTCTTTGTGTCAATATAGTATAGAATATTAAAAATTTTGAGGGTTATGAAAGTGACGGCACTTTTTTTGTTTCATGTGATCAGCTAATTTGGGGCAAGATGATTTTTGCGTATTCATTATTCAAGTAAAATTTTATTTTTTATTAATAACGTGATGAATAATACTATAGATATTTTTTAAATTTTACTATTTGTATATAAATTATAGCGAAAGTTTGGTACGTCTATTAGAACTCATTCTGTAAGTCAGTGGTTCTCAACATTTCGTACCGCGCCTCCCTGTTCTTATAAAAAAAAATTATTTAGTGGTTTATTTTTATATCGTGTCGAAATTTCTGGTTTCATTTTCGAAGAGTATTTTGGAAACAACTGTACGCCCCCCTGAGGAAGCGGTCCCCACAGCTTGGAAACCACGGCTGTGAGAGAACTTGTATTGTCGAGAATTGTTCATTTGCTAATTCAATATAAATTGACCCAAAAAATTAACACTAGTTAAATTAAAAAAAACGGCGTTGGCAACCCCAATTTTATTCTGTGCTACGTGATTATACTTTACTTTTGTTTTCCGCTATGTTCATGTTTGTTAACCCTGGCCGTACATAAGAGAATCAAAAGGGATATAGTTTTTGCAAGAATAATTTTGGATATTGCCTTTGATAGCCATTTAATTGGTGAGTCCTTTTTATGCTTAATACATTAAACATATATTATACTTTAGTTTTAACATTTTCATTAAACTTATGATGCTGTTATGTTCGATATAACATTGCAAATAGAAGCGCAATATCATTGTACATTTTATCCGCACATGCCCAAAAAATTCAAGATGTCCGATGTACATTCATATTGAAATATTTGATAATTAAGATAGTTTTATTGATTGGTAGAAGGTAAAAAGTATGAACGTTTAAGTAGTCAGTATGTCAATATAGTATAGAATATTTATTTCAAGCTCATTTAAAATCTAGAGTTCTAAGGTTATAAAAGTATTTCATATGATTGGCTAATTTAGGGTACGATGGTTTTTGCGTATTCGTTATTCAAGTAAAATTTTATTTTGTGTCAAAAGCGTGGTAAATGACACCTTCGAGTAAATTCTTTTTATTTTATTGTATGTATATAAATTATAGTAAAAAGTTCGGTGCGTTTATTATGACTCATTCTGTATGTCGGTGGTTTCCATCCTTTTCCTACCGTGCCCTCCCGTTCTTACGAAAAAATTGTTGCGCCCCCCTATTTTTTTTTTAGCAATTTAATTATCACACTACAGATTAATATACAATATTATGTAAAAATGTACATACAAAATAATTATTTAAAACATAATTTTTTATATTTTGTCAAAATTTTTCATTTATTTTGGAAACAACTGTACGCCCCCCTGAAGAGGCGCTCCCAACGGCTTTAAGAGAACTTATATTTGACATGTAGAGAATAGGAGAATAGTTCATTTGTCAATTTAATATAAATTTACGCAAATTAATGTTAGTTAAATTAGAAAAAAAACTGCGTTGGCAACACCAATTTTATTCTGTGGTACGTGATCACTTTCTTTTGTTTTTCGCTATCTTCATGTTTGTTAACCCTGGCCGAACATAAGAGAATCAAAAGGGATATAGTTTTTGCAAGAAAATTTTTGGATTTTGCTTTTGATAGCCATATAATTGGTGAGTCTTTTTATGAATAAAACATTAAATATATATTATACTTTAGTTTTATTATTTTCATTAAACCCACGATACAGTTATGTTCGATATAACCATCGCAAATAAAAGCGCAATATCCTTGTCATTTTATATGCATAAGCACACAAATATACAAGATGTCAGATGTACGTAGGCCATTGTTATTTTAAAATATTTGATTAATAAGATAGTTTTATTGAAATCGTTTATGGTAGAATGTGAAAAGTTAGAAGTTTTAAGTATTCAGAGTGTCAATATAGTATAGGATATTTATTTCAAGTCCATTTGAAATCTATAGCGCTAGAGTTATAAAAGTGTTGTTTTATATGACTGGCTAATTTGGGGTTAGATAGTTTTTGTGTATTTTTTATTCTAGTAAAGTTTTATTTTGTGTCAATAATGTAGGTAAGTGATACTTTTGAGTAAACTGCTTTAATTTTAATATTTGTATATTAATTATAGTGAAAAGTTCGGTACATTTGTTAGGACTCAGTGAACTTGTATTTGACATGTATAAAGTTAGAGAATAGTTCAATTGTTAATTTAATATAAATTTATTCAAATTAATGCTGCACGCACACTCACACATATACATATATATATATATATATATATAGAGATAGGGATAGAGATAGGATAGAGGATATATAGAGAAGATATAGATATATATATATATAGATATATATATA